GGTGGAATAGAAACAGGACCCACAGGGAGGAAGTGGGACAACTGTCACTTCATGGAAGTGACTATAATCATTGAGATGAAATATAAGTCTAATCGCACACTAGCTTCTCCCAGCAGATGACATGCACCATAAGGTGGGGACTTTGGTGCACCATTTTTTCTCCGGACTCCAGAACAGCATCTGACACATAAAAAACAAAGCTTTTGCCTGCTAGCGGGTTCCAACTCATAGCACTGCTTGGGACAGGGTAGCATGCCACATCTTTCTCCTGAGGAATGGCAGGTGGGTTTGAACCACCTTATCTTATTAGTTTCCCAGCGCTTCAACCACTTTGCCAACTGGGTCCCTCGGGCACATACAAAGTGCTCAATAAGTATTTGTTGTATGAGTTCTAAATTCTTTAATGGGCATATCTTATAGCCTGCATCTCATAGTAAATGCCAAGTTGCTAATTAAAATTAAAGAAACACTTTTCATTCAGAAATGCAATTTATGTGAAATAATCCCAGCCTAAGTCATATTCCCGTAAAGAACTGAAGACTGGAAAAGCCACTTCAGGGTCACTCAGAGTTCGAATCAAACTGGATGGCAGTGAGCAGTAATACATTCATGATTCTTTCCAGCCCTAACAGAGTCGGAAACTCCTAGGTTACAAAGAGCCAGAGTTCAATGTGAGGAAAGCATCAACGTACTATTAAAACTGGAGTGAGTATAATCATGTGAAGTTTCATCTAGAAAGAATTTTTCTAAGTCTCAGGATCATTGTTAGAATGAAAGTTGTTTGTTTGTTTGTTTGCATGGTGGGAGGCGGTTGGGGGAACCCATTACATCAAATTGCTCACTTGGGATGTCTCTAACCCATGGCCCTGGAGTAGATTTTGACTTACAATGACCCCAAAGGACAAAGTAGAACCACCCCACAGGGTTTTCAAGGCTGTCAATCTTTACAAAAGCAGGTGCCACAGTTTTCTCCTATGGAGGAGATAGTTGGTTCGAACCCCTGACCTTTCAGTTAGCCTTCAAGCACCACCAGAATTCCTTGAACTATTTCTAAGAACATTAAAAAATAATTTACATATATATATATACATATGCTAATGCCTAAGTTCCGATTGACTGTTTATACACAGATTGTTGTTGCTGTTATGTGCCATGGAGTTGGTTCAAACCCATAGCGACCCTGCACAGGGTCTTTACAGGAGCAGAATGCCTCCTCTTTCTCCCATGGAACAGCTGGTAGTTTCGAACTGCTGACCTTGCGGTTCACAGCCCGATTCGTAATCACTACGCTACCAGAGCTCCTTTATATACAGATTTGTTGTTGTTATGTGCTGTGGAGTCGGTTCCGACTCATAGCGACCCTATGTAGGGTTTCCGAGGCTGTACATCTTTACAGGAGCAGAAAGCTTCATCTTTAGAGGAGGCCAATGATAGCAGGACATTCTGTGAAATGCACTGCATGGGTTGCTAAGTGCTGTCGGGTTGGTTCCAACTCATAGGATTTAAAAAGTGCACAGGACTTCCGAGAACCTGCTGATGGGTTTGAACTGTGGCCCTTACAGTTCCCAGTCCAGTGCTTATCCTACAGCACACCAGGGTTCTACACTAAGGCTCCCAGTAAAGGTTGTTATTGTTATAGTTGGTTCCAGCTCAGAGCCAGCGACTCTGTGAAGGGTTTCCAAGGAGCTGTTGGTGGGTTTAAACCACTGACCTTGCAGTTAGCAGTCCAGGACTTATCCCAGACGGCTGTCCTCAAATCCATGTCAAATGTGTAGTGGTTTGGTTGTAAAGCCATTAAAATACAGTGAGGAGGAGGTGCGCAGAGGAAATCAAAGAGGGAATTGAACGAAAGAAGGACCCACCGACATTTGGTGCATATTTTAGCTAATTTACAACACTGGAATAAAAGTAGAAATGACAAAGGAAAAGAAAAAGAGTGTGTGAGAAACAATTTTTAGAAAGTCACCCCAGAAAATAAAGGTCACCTCATAAAATACATCTTCCTTCTGGTCTTTCAATCTTACTTGTGGCATGCCACCTCTGGATGTTTGGTTTCCTGTGGTTAGAAAATAGCAAATTCTCAAGACAGCTGACTGAAATTAATACATGTTGCCTCGTGATTTTTTTTTTTTTTTTTTTTACGTTTTTATAGTGCGTTGAGTGATAGTGTACATGGGAGAACATGGGTTTTACACCATCGTTGCATTGTAATGATCACAATCTCCTCCGTGCATCATCATTCAGCAGTATTTGCTTTTATTCCCTCTGTTTTTGTTTTGTTTTTTTTTAGGGGGATCTTGGTATTTTTTTAGTAACAATTTTTTTTCTTTAAAAAGTGAATGAATCCAATTTGAGACGAACTCTTCTCCTTGTAGAATTGTGGTGTGTGCTTAAAAAAAATGACTAGCTCTTAAAAAGGATTTTCTATATAAGCAATTGAGAGAGGACAGAGCAGACCCTGAAAGACAGCGTTTTGATCTGGAAAGAGAGGAAAGAAGAAAGGCAAAATTAAAGATGTTGTCATCGCTAAAGGGCTGTCAAGCTGGTTCCGACTCATAGCGGCCCTGGATAGGGTTTCCGAAGAGCTAATGGTGGGTTTGAACTGCCAATCTGTGGTTCAAACCAACCTTGAGGTCCAGTGCTTTATCCCACAGCATCACACCAGGACATTTTCCTAAAACAGAAAAGTTCTGGTGGTGGCTGTGTTCTATTGAGTCAGTCCCGACTCATAGCAACCCTGTATAGAGTTTCTGAAAGTATAAATCTTTTCTCCTGGGGAGTGGCTAGTGGATTTGAACAGCTGACCCTGCAGTTAGCAGCACAACACATAATCCATTACGCCACTGAGGCTCAAAACAGAATAGATAGAGGAAGGCAGTCACAAGACCAGGTTAAATTTGAGAGCAAAATCTGAAGAACACCAACAGAAACATTCTTGAAGAAACCAAATGCTAGAAGCAAACCTATATGAGGGGCTTAAAAAAGTTTGTGGGAAATTCTGTTACCTTTTAATCACATTTTTCCAGGACCTGTTTGAAGCCCTCTCATATTGAATTTACTTAGATGAACAGGTAAGCAGGCATTGAACTTGTTCAGGCTTACAGCATTAGAGTAGAGGACACTTGTAATTCCAGACCTGGGGCGAGTGGTCAGGAGGTATTTAGAACTTTTAAGGTTACTTGAAGTAGATGAACGTAAAGTAAGATAAGATTTGTTTTCCATCACTGTTAGAAAGTCAAGTATTATGTTAATATCATACATATTCAAACAAATAGAAAAGTCAATATTCCTAAATTTATAAAAATATAAACTTCAGTGTTTACTAAATCTTAATTAAATGTGCAAACATTCATGAAAAAGGTTAAAGTTTAACAAGCTGATGATAGCACAGGTAACACTGATTTCTTAGATTTAGAAAGTATCGTTTTTATTTTAAAGGATGACTTTCAAGTTATGAAAATCCATCCTTTATTTTTTTCACCGGCCAAGGAAAAAGAGAAAATTTGCTACCCAAACCCAGACACAAAACCCTACATTTCATTTTATGGGAATACCAAACCAACCCACTGCCGTCGAGTAGATTCTGACTCAGGACAAGTAGACCTGCCCGAGTTTCTAAGGTATCTTTAGTGAAGCAGCTAGCCAGCCAACCAATCAACCGCACCTTTCTCTCCAAGAGTGGTTTGAGGTTTCCAACCGCCCAACTTTCGGAAAGCAGTGTAGAGCTTTCACCAGAGCCACGGGGACTCATTTTACAGGAATTGTTGTTGTTAAGTGCCACTGAGTCGCTTCCAAATCATTGCAACCCTGTATAGGGTTTCCAAGGAGCTGCTGGTGGGTTTGAACGGCCTATTTTGCTGTCAGCAGTCCACATTGCAAGGCCTGCACGAAGATCTCAGGGACAGAATTATAGAAGTATTCAGCGAGGAAGGCCCAGCTGATGCATTTACTCATTTCACCGGTCCCATAAATCATGCAGGAGTCCTGGTGTGGTGCTGTGGGTCAATGTGCTGGACTGCAAAGTCATGTGAACCTCAAGGTCAGCGGTTCAAGCTCACCAGCTGCTCCTTGGAAACCCTACACAGGGTCGCTATGGGTCGGAACCGACTCGATGGCTCTTAACAACAACAACATAAATCATGCGGATTCCTGGTAGGGCGCTGTAGGATCACCACTGAACTGCGAATCACCACAAGGTCGGCGGTTCAAATCCACCAGCTGCTCCTCGGAAACCCTATACAGGGTCGCTCTGAGTCGGAACCGGCTGGACGGCACGGAACAACAATAAATAAATCCTCCAGAAAGCCCACCTTCAGTGGCTAGTCATAAAAATAGGCGGGTGGTTAGTTACCCCATAGCATAATCCTCATTTTGTTGAGGTGGAGCAGATGTCATTCTGGGTGGGGCCGAGCAGCTGAAACCTTTTTGAGCCACCCCTCCCTGTAGACTTCCAATGGGATAGCACGGGATCCGGAAAGGTAAGAGGCAAGCTCTCCGCCTTCCCTTTCTCCTAGGAAACCGGGAACTTTGAAGTGAGCGTGGTCGTCGGCACGACTACAAGATTTTAAAACTTCCCCACGGTTCAGTCATACCCTAAAAGAGGTAGTCCCCTTTCTCCCGTCCCCTGTCGGTTCCTCCTCGGGACACTTGGCTGAGTCTGCTTTTCCCTCCTTGGAACGCTGAGGTGAAGCTACACTGAGCCGCGGACGCCAGCGTTTCTTTTCGAGCTGAGGGAGCTCTGCCGGTAGGAGGCTGGGATCGCAAAAAGGGAGAGGGCGGCGAACAGGGCTCGCCGAGGACGAGTCGGGCTGGGGAAGGAAGGACCACGCGGGCCGCCGGGCCGAGGAGGCCGAGGTGAAGAGGGCAATCTCCGGGCTCGGCCAGGGACAGGGCGCTTCCGGCGGGCCTCGTTCGCTCGCGGCCTAGGGGCCTCGCGTCCCCGAGCCGAACTCGGGCAGACAGAGAGTGAGAACAGAGGGAGAGCCGCGGCTCGCACTTGCCTGGGAACGGGTGACCAGTAACTGGTAATAATCTTTGCTCGGAGCCGGGCCTTGTCCTACAATTTCGAACAGAGTGTCCGGCAGCCACGACGCCATCTTGGGACGCCACCGCCGTCGCTAGGACAACCAGGAAGGGGCGGGACTTATCTAGGGTCAGAGGGCCAAAGCCCTAGTTGAAATCGAGCATCGCTTTACAGCTCTGGGAAGAGGGCGGGGGCGGTTTTAATTTGGGGTAACCGTTCCCTCTCCCAAGGGTCCTAGGGAACCTGGATTCAGGAAATTTCCACCTTGAGGGCTCGGGTGACCCGAAGGGGAATTAGTTCCTGCAACCACTGAGGGGAGGGGGTGACCCCGGCGGAGGGATACCAAACGCAGCTTCCCAGCCTCCTTCCTGGTCCCTCGAAGGGATCCGGAGCAGATCGGAATCCGCGGGGGGCGTCGCGCCTGGCGGTGGGGGAGGGAGGGGCGATGTGATGGTCCGCTAGTAGGCTGCGGGGCCGGTCCCGCGGACGCGGCCGCCTGAGGAGGGCAAAGTAGTTCCCGGGAGTGTCGGCGCTGGTGGGGAGGGAGGCGGCGCGGGCGGAGGCGCACGGCGGCTCGGTGCTGCGGCTCAGCTGATAATTGAAGGGACCGAAGAGCCGCCGCCGCCGTCGCTGGGGGGGGGTGGGGGGAGCGTGTGGAAGTTACTGCCGCGCCACCGAGTCCGCACCGGAGACTTTGGGGCCTAACTAGGTAATTGGGGCGCAGCTCCGAGCGGTGGGGGCCGGGCTGGGGGGAGGGGTCGGGGTGAGGAGTTGGGGGGGGGACGGTGGGGGGGGGTGGAGCTGGAACAGAAAGTCCCAGGAAGCCCGGTTGTGTCATCGCCGCGATTCGGCCCCCACTCGGCCTGTTGGCGGCGTCGGCGGCGGGGTCGCGGAAGGACCGGGTCGGGGGTTGACGGGCGAGGCGCTCGAGGGTGACCGCGGCCGGAGGGAGCCGGGCCGGCGGGAACGGGGGTCGCTGGGTGTCCCCCTCCGGCCCCCGCCATGAGAAGGGCCCTTGACGGCTCCGGGGTAAGGCGTGCGGGTTGTTGGGGAGCCTGGCGGAGGCAGGGGGGCCGGAAGTGGGCTTGGGAGCTTGGAGGGCGTCTAGGAAGAGCGAAAGTGGGGGGCCGGAAGTGCAGGTGGGAGGTGTGAAGACGACCAGAGTTCCCCGGAAATGGGACGGGGGGCCCGGAAACGGGGCGAGGGGAGGCTCCCGGTCCGAGGACGGCCCGGAAATGGAAAGTAGGGAGCAGCTCGAGTGACAACAGTTGTGGGAAGCGAGGGTCAGAGGAGGGAGAGGCCGGAGTGAGTGGAGGCCGCAGCGGGGTCGCCCGGCCTGGGGACGGTTGAGGGCGGGCGGCCCGGCCCGGGGCTGCGCGGGGCAGTTTCTTCAGCCGGGGGAAGTTGAGGCTGAGGGCTGGCCAGGGCTCCGTGAAGAGGGCCCGAAAGAGCTGAGAAACTTGGCCGAGAGGAGCGGAGTGTTCCCTCAATGGATCCGCAGGGAAATCGGGGGGAGGGCGTCCAGAACTTGGGGGAGGTAGGTGGCCCAGTTGTCACCCCTACCGTGTTCGTGCCCCCAGTCCCAGTGAGTCGGACCGTTGATTTCTGGGGGGTAGGGGTGGTTTACATAAACCCCACGATGACCGTGTTTGTCCAGCCAGCTCAGCCCGTCTCCTCCTCCCCAGTGAGGGGGGCTTTCTAAGGTAGAAGCCCGGTGGAGAGGGATTCAAACAACGAAGGCTGTTGGCTTCCAAACCCAGTCCTCCGCCGTGGCGCTTCCTTCCTGGGACTCAGAGTTCCAGAAATGAAGCCCCAATTACCAAACACGGATGAAACCCGGGGCGGGGGGGGCGTCAGGCACCCGCGTCTGTGAACTCTTCTGGGGGGGGTGAGAGCAAGGGACAAGCTAGCCTGTCAGGACAGCTTTTGTGTCGGGGTCGGGTGGTTTGTCTGGGGTGGGTTTAGCCGGAGCATCGTTATCGTGTTGGGGTGGGTGGCTTCGTTAGTTATTGGGGGGTGAGCGGGTGCGGGTGTTTGCCTACGGTTAGGAGCGCGCCGGGTCTGTCCCTAGTGGACGTCTTCCCGCGGCCCTGCCGGGTCTCTTCCTCGGCGGCCTTCCCCGGTCTGGACCGGGCCTGCCAAATCACCCGATCCCGGGGCTCTGTTCTGCGTGGTAGGCCCGCTACTGGTGTGTGTAACTTTCTCTTCCTCCCCTTAGATGTTTCTGGCATTTCATTTTTTAAAAGACTCGCCAGCGGAGACTCAGCATCTCTTCTACAAAAACAAAAACATGGGGTAGAAAGTTGAAAGAGCTATTGAGTAGGGTGAAAAACCGAGGCCAGGAACAAAGGTCCTAGTTGTGTTGGAGAAAAAAAGGCAGGAGGCCTGTAGCTGAGGCCTGTGTGTGTCGCATTTACACCCAGGGGGCAGGGCAGCAGTTCGAGTTGACTAGTAGGATTATCCTCAGTGGCTTGGACACAATAAATTGGGGAGGGATTTATTGAGGTTTATTTTGTTTTTTCCAGCCTGCAAAGAGATCAGTCTTCAGTGTTTGAGAGTAAACACAATTTCGAATTCTTTCTCTTGACACTCCCTTTAAGGTCTCTGCATGTTTAGCCCCAGAAATACTGAGCTAGTGAGGCTTTTATATCATTTTTTTGTGAGATGATTCGAGTTTTTCGGTTTTCACTTATTTTTAGCTTAAGAGAAAGTCTCCACATGGTTGAGGTTGGTGAGCTTTCTCTGGATGTGCCAGTATCTGTAAGATGGAGAGCTGAGATTGAGACTGTCATTGTTTCCACTCTCTCCAGTTTTCAGGAGTTTGAGGAGTTTTTAAGCCTGTTCAGCTGACATTGTGCCCGTGAACAGGTTTTTTGTTTAGTTTAAGCTTTACTTTTACTTTTTCAAAGTCTTAGGATACTTTTTGGTTAAGAGCTTCCAAAATTTTCTAAAGTAAAATATGCAGGGATTTCAGAAAGTTTGTGGAAATAATTCCATTTTTTCCATGAACTTTTTAAAGACCTCTCATACTTACATTAACACAAATGAATCTGATTACTTGGCCAAGGTAAAATCTATGCTGTTGCTTAGCAAAGTACTTTTGGAGGAATATTTACTTTTCCATTCTAACTCTTTAAGATTAGCATGTTTATGTTATCCAAATAAGGTTTTATGATCATTTTAAGGCATTCTAGCAAAGAAGATAGTATTTGCAACACTGCTGTGTGACCTTGAATCAGCCACTTTAACCCTCTAGCTTCTGTTTTACCTGTAGAATGGAAATGGGTAATCCCTGTCTCTACTCACCGGTGGTTATGAGATACAGCTGAGATGGAAAACTCCCACTAATTTTAGAAAAGTAGTTATTTTGAGGTGATTTTTTAAATGTACAGTTTTTTAGAAGTGGTATGTGTCTGGATGACATTACTATAAGGGGGGTTGAGTAGGAGAGGGTTGGACCCTTTTATCATTTGAAACTACTGCTGAACTGATAGAGGCCCTCTGGCTCAGTTTTTTAGCTGATAAATTCTTGTTTGCATTTACATGCTAGATATTTCTTTATCATGCATCCTACTAGATAGATGTTAATCTCACTAAGAGAAATTAAAGATTTCTTTACAATTTTATCATTGTCTCTAGTGTACTTTGTGGTTCTTAGAAAATTCACTCACCAATGTCAGTAGAGATTACTATTAAGGAAAAACCCTCCTCTGACTCTTCTTTGCAGGATCTAAGGGGTTTTGTTTTGTTTTTAAAGAGCCACACTCCCTCACAAACCCTATCATATAAAGGACTTCCAGGAAGGGACCTTTTGGAGTAAATGATATACTTTGTCCCTTTATTTTCTCCCTGCCTGCTGAGGTAATGTTATGGAGTCATGTTGAAACCGTCAGCTTCTCATAATTCTCCATCTTCACTCAAGGTATGCCTTGCTACGGCCAGCCCAGCCCAGTTTTGTTGTTCTTGATGGCAGTGGGTTTTGCTGAAGATACCTTTGGTTCACTTGAACACATCCCCTCCAATTGCCACAAGTAAAACGTCCTGGATCTTTTCTTTTTCTTTTTTGGTCATTTAGCCTGCTTTTTGGTATTAAATTGTTGAGTCTGTTGACATGTTACTTTTGTTTCTCCAACTAGATGACAGGATTCCTGAGGGCAAAGCCAATTTCCTTTCACTGTGGTATGCACAAAGGAGCACTCATAAAGCTGATAGAAAAGTAATCCCTGGATCCCTCCTGTGCCAGACCCTAGAATGTTAGCCTGGCCTTGCTGTATGTGTAACTGATCTTCCTGTTTCAGGAGGTTTCTGGACTTCCTAAGACTGTTCAGGATGCTGCCTGTGGTTTGGGCCAGTGGTCTCGTCTTTGCCCTTGACTGATGTGCCGTCACAGTGCATGGGTGGGTATACATTGTCAGCAGCAAGTTGTAGTTTTAAGCCAATGGATTGTTTTGTGCCTCTTTTTCCATAGGCCAAGCTGAAGTTAATAGGGTCAAGCCTTAAGGGAGCTCGAGCCAGCTAGGGTGGCAGAGTGAGTATATGAGAATGTGGTGGATACTACAGTCCATGTATTTGGTAGATTACTGTGCAATCATGGTGTTCGTAGCTCCTCACGTCTAATACTAACTTTACATTGGGGTAGTTTCTTTTCCTGCCTGTGCGTTCTTTCAACAACTGTGTTATGGGACTTCTTGAAGGCATAAAACCCAACACCTTGTCCTTTGGGTGACTGTGTGGTGGGTGCTTGTTACTGCAGTGTCTAGGAAGACCCCCAGATGGATTGCCATAGTGGCTGCTGCAGTTGACTCTGACATAGTGACGATGGCAGGACAGAACAGTGTTTTCTTTGTCTTGTGCATGGAGTTGCTATGACTTGGAACCAACTCTTCACCCAATAACAGACGAGTGTGTTGATGCATGGTCATTCTCCTGATTTTTTTCTTAAATAGGATTTAATTTGGCAGATACCCTGGATTAAAAAAAAAAAAAAAATCAGTTCTTTAATTAAATCTGACATCAAGGGGCTTCATAAAGTTTGTGGAAAATGGAACTGAAAGATAATTGAATTTTTCCACAGAGTCTTTGA